AACCTGATCTTTGTCAATAGGTGCTTCCATGAACTTCATGCAAAGCGATCACAGTTGCGTCACTCAACACACTGCATCGTCGAATCTGGATATTTGATGCTTGTTTGAAACTGTTGCGAACGTCGAACGCAGCTTGATGACGCACAAGGCTTGTCACCACGGCAACTCCCAAACTTCAAGAGTTTGTTGTCGGAAACCTAGCATGTAGTTCGGCACAGCCCAGGCATTCCCAAGCCCCAACCACTGGCTGCGACAAGGTGGACTGCTTCAGCAAAAACACATCAAGCGTGTACTTTGGCGTGTCTGGACGTGGTTCAGTGCAGCGTCAATTCACTGGAGTTGAGGCGGTCGCACACACATGCATTCCAAAGTGATTAACTCAAGTTGCTTGTGTGTGAACACACCGGCCACTCATCACACCCAAATTCCACAATGCATCTAGTTAAACACACCCTTTCACGGTGTCGATTGACACGCTCTTTGGCTTCTGGTTACTCAACGGATTTAGCTTTGTGAGTTGATTTTAATGTAGGAATTGGATGAAGATGCGTTTCACCTCGTCCCTGTTCCCTCTCACGAGAACCTGTTTTCAGTGCTAGTTGTCAAGACATTGATGCATTTGACCTTAATTGACGTTTTGCGCCACCAAAATTTCTTAAAAATTATCGAAAAAAACTATGCAATTTTGCGTTCCTCGCCGTTAGCTACAACTCTTCCAGACGCCTTTATCCAATTGCCTCAAAAATCATTTGTTCTTTCACCGTCGTTCCTGCCCCATTTACCGTTCTCTGCCATTGTTTATGGCGTGAAATCACTGCTTCAACCAATTCTGGATCCCGTTTTGCCAAAGATCCTTGGCATGGTTGTCAAGCTCTTTCCTGAGGTTTTCACCAATGTCAAATGTCGTGTCGCACAACCTTCTTGAAAACGCATGGATTTGGTGGTAATCTGAAGGAGTTAAGTCTTCGACGATCCCAACAGACGAACTCCAGACGGAAGCTGCAGTCCTGTCGAACGACTTGCCAAGTTCCATCATAAGAAAGCGTAGATGCGCTGATTGTTATCTTGGTTCCTTGCGAACAAATCCCGCTTTTTGCGCAGTTACTCGATCATTTCTACTCTTCACCTCCTTCCTTTGAATGACGTGTGCGTCCATGGTCATCACGATGTGGAAGAAGTAATTCGATCGTAATTGGTTGGGAATCGGTATTTTGGGTCCCACGTTAGCCTACGTCTAGATAGCTAGGCGTCCGTTCCCTAATTTGACCTTGACCCCCTAAGAACCTACCTCTGACACAATGGCTCTGACTGGTACACTTCATTGTGTCCGCACCAATCAAATTTACAGACCCGGCCTGCAAATAGCACAGTTGATTTTAGTACTAATATCGCTGCTTCGTCTCCGTAGAGCTCACAGACATCCCAAAAATGAGTGTCAACTTGCGGCCACATTGGCACTTTAAGAAAGCCAATGACGGCTTTTCTGGTAAAAAGAGGAAAGTGCTCCCTCAATACCTTGCCTAGCCCTAACAAAATGACCACCAAACGACGAATAGCAAAACGCTTACAGTCCGCAGACAGACCAAGGCATGTTTTAATTATAAGTTTCCGTGTAACGCGATTTTGCCCAGTTTCCTACATCTCGTGCGAAGTCTCTAATTAGCCTCCATTCGATAAACGCGACGGCCTTTCTCTGAGGTGCTGGCGAGCGGAATCGGTGGCCAATTTGTTTCGTGGTCTCGCAATGTCAGCTCTCCACACGACCAGCGTTGCCCGGGCAACCCAGTGTTATTGAGGTTAATTTTAGCACTAACAGCAACATCAGGAGTGAGGAGAGGCAGAGGCTGGGGGAAGGGGGCAGAATTTGTCAGGTGGTTTTGCTGATTTCGCCTCCGTTTCCTCCTCTGCCCACCCCCCTGTCACTCTGATTGACTAGTTTTCCTGGTTAATCAATGCTCAGGACCTGTTTCACGGTCTCATTATCTATTTTACTATTCTTGGTTAGCTCAAAAACTTTTTAAGGGAATAAGCAGAACCAGATTCCTGGAACTGTCTTTTGGAACCCTCGTAATGCCTCTAAAGACACTGAAAGAGTCAACCGTATTGGTCCGATGTTACAATTTATCGGTGTTTAGACTAGAGGAATCACGAATTCGTTTGTGTATTATTCAGAACCAGAGCCACCAAAACCTCCACGGAGTATTCAGGTGGAGTTGATCAACTACGATCGGATGGACTACCAGATCTCGTGGGAGCCACCATTACCTCCAAGCGAGTTGTTGAACGCACCTGGTAGTAGTCACCCCAGCGCAAGCAATTCCTTTACCCGCTACCGCGTAATGTGGGCTCCAAGAAAAGACGAGCCTGTAGACGCTTCCATGTACAACGACGAGGCTGGTTTCAGCCCGATTCCTGATCTTCAAAACTCGGATGTACGAGTGGTCGATAAGGTAAGCGTGTGTGAATTTCAGTGTTGTTTGTGAGAAGCGATGCCTTACTGTTCTCTTTCCTACCCCAGAACCAGACATCACTCATTCTCCCTCGCCTTCGACCACGGACGGTCTACATCCTCCGCATCCAGACCCTCGGACCGAACAGCCTGGGTCGCGGACGCGAAAGCACTCCAGCGGTGCACTACTTCGTCACCCATGACGATCGATTCCGCACCAGTGGACAGGCCGCTCACAACGGTGAGTTACAACCTCCCGTTTTAAAAGGAGTTCACTCTACCATGGTCCCAAGTCTTGAAGCACCAACTCACTCATCTTTCACTATGCAGGACTGTTTATTGATGCCTCGCCAGATGGAGGAGCTACCACACGCCTGACGTGTGCTCCATGCTTGACACTGCTTCTACTCGTCATCTGGTTTGATCACCTCTAAATTCCACGGAAATACCTCTGAACACTGAGCCCAACCTGCCAGTGGCACGTCCACCGTCAACTGAGGACCTGCGTGACTTTGCTTTTTTATACGAAGAAGTACGAGTGCAAATGCCATTACCTCCTCCTCCAACACCACCTCCACACTGTACAAAACCTCATTATTTTTGTCTTCTTCCTCCTCCTCCATCCCTGCTCCCGCCTCCCACCGCCTCCTCATTTCTCGCGTTCGCTTATTCGCTCGCGTGTGTCTTTCAACTGTGATCTCAACCGCCACCCTATAACACTATCCTTACTGACCAAATGCTTGCTGACGGAGTTGTTAATACCAAAATATACCAATATGAGTTTTTACCACATTATGGCCTGGTTTGGCTTCCGAGGGCGTAGTTAGACACCAGACGGTTGACTCGATGCTCACACATTTCGAATATACCACCAGTTTAGGTTCGCCAGTTGTAAGCTTATATTTGCAAAGATCTGTCATTTGGGGCCCATGATCGGCTGAAAGTGATCGTAGTTTCTGAAGGTAGTGATAAAGAGCCCTGTTTAGGAAAATTACAGTTTTACAACCGATCATATGCATTCTAAAGGCCCAAGTTTTATTTAACTGGGGACAATTTTTTCTGACTTCAAAAATCAATAAAACAGTACACATGAAAGCTCTTCCTGACCCCTTTTCAATTGGCATTGAAAAAGTCTGGTTAATTTAACACCACACAACAATCACGAATCTCATATTTACTACCAAGCAAGTTTGCAGTGCTCGTCGTTTTTGAAATTAGAAATCAGGAGCCCTATGGCGGAAAATTACAGTTTATCGGCCAATCACACAATTACCACGGGTGAAGGGTTGGCTGGGGACAAAACTCACTAAATTCTCATTTCTGCAATAATAGCTTGGGTAATTTTTGGCCGAATTATTGTACCATCAGTTTGGATTCGACATTTGTGAACCTCAAACTTACAAAATATCATAAATGTTCCTCCAGTGTTGCCTACTTTTCAACCAGTCATGTGCTTTGCCCTGGGGATAGAAAAAAAAATATCAGATGTAACTAAATCTTGACTGCAGGGTAGATGTAACTAGACGTGAGGGGAAAATACGTCAAAACAACATCAAGTTTTTTCCCGATTATTATCATCAGTTTTCAGAGTTGCAGCCTTCGTGATATTTACCACCTTCAAACCAATCATCTTTCAGTTTTAAATCATTTGCCTGAACCCTACAATCTGGAAATTGTTCATCGATGGACTCGCAACCTAGCAACCAATTGGTTTCCAGCATCAAAAATCTTCCGACTTTCGGAGTACAAAATTTTTGGTGACAAAATTAAAAATTTATGTTAGCAGTACATTTAGTAAGTTTGTTCATGTGAGAGAAGGCAAGTCGACGTAAATTGAACCAGGCTAATCGCTGTGAGCGTTTTCTGGTGCTGAGAAAGTACTTGAGGTTAAAAAAGGAAAAAAAGTGAGCGCTACTGAAAAATTAGTCGATTTAAACAAGTCGGTTTACAGCAATTTAGGATGTCTCTAAGGACTCGCCAAAAGTGGGTTTATGTCATCAGTAAAGTACTCTGAATTGCTAATTTATGCCTAGGGTGATCTGGGCGAATGCTGGCTTCCCCGTTAGGCATGAACCAAAGTTCTTGCTGATTGGTCAATCCAAGGTCAGATTGAAGCCAATTTTCGTAGTCAGTAATGTCGAAGTATTTGAACGCATGAGTACACCGATTGAAATTCCTCACAATTAACGGCGCTTAAGTGTGTTTAAGGCTAAGTTTGTAGTATGTTTTTTTTATTATTAGAAACAATTCTGTAAATGCTAAAAACGGTGAACTTTGGTTACTAGAAGTCAGCACAAAACAATGAAGGAAACGTAGATATATAAGTGCGATTGTTCGCAAATTGCGCAAGAATACGGCTATAACGTTCCCCTGTACACACAAAAAACAGCGCTGTAATTTCGTCAAAAGTGAATTCTCATTGGTCAAACTAAGCATCTAGAAAGTGTCTTGGGAATCGTGTGACAGCTATCGAATAAATACTTTTTTTTCAAATGTGGCCCAACAATGTCAGTTGTGTATTCGTGTGTGGTCCAGAATTCCATTTGAAAGCGAACACAATTTGCTATTTTAACGTGTAGACCACCGTAATGGCATGGTACACACGGTAAAGCTGGAGTACTACTTTTCAGTTGTGAAAAAAAGCATTTTCAGTTCCGCATTTAATAAGTTAAGCTAAATTCTCGAAGAAAAACGGCAAATTAAGTCAAGTGCGTTAATATTTCGACAAGTAGCAGTGAAAACAGGTTAGTCTGACGTGTCAGGTTCTCGTGAGAGGGAACAGGGACGAGGTGAAACGCATCTGCATCCAATTCCTACATTAAAATCAACTCACAAAGCTAAATCCGTTGAGTAACCAGAAGCCAAAGAGCGTGTCAATCGACACCGTGAAAGGGTGTGTTTAACTAGACGCATTGCGGAATTTGGGTGTGATGAGTAGCCGGTGTGTTCACACACAAGCAACCTGAGTTAATCTCCTTTGAATGGGTGTGTGCGACCGCCTCAACTCCAGTGAATTGACGCCGCACTGAACCACGTCCATACACGCCAAAGTACACGCTTGATGTGTTTTTGCTGAAGCAGTCCACCTTGTCGCAGCCTGTGGTCAAGGCTTGGGAATGTGTGGGCTGTGCGGAACAACATGCCAGGTTACCGACAGTAAACTCTTAAAGTTTAGGAGTTGCTGTGGTTACAAGTCTAGTGCGTCATCAAGCTGCGTTCGACGTTCGCAACAGTTTCAAATCGAGATCAAATATCCAGATTCAACGATGCAGTGTGTTGAGTGACGCAACTGTGATCGCTTTGCATGAAGTTCATGGAAGCACCTATTGACAAAGATCAGGTTGTGTTTGTGAATGTGAAGGACACGGCGATTTGATTGGCCATTTCTGAGTACTTCCAGTGGACTCGGTTCACCTCCGACTTTGACTGGAGGAACAGGTGGAATAGGTCGCGTAGCTGTCCGAGACAGGCGTGTGTGCAGGTGGTCGAGTAGATCGATGAGAGGGAGGGAGTTATGTGTGGTGCTGTGGAGTTACTACGTGAGGTAGATGATTGAGGTAACCACAGAGGGAGTAGGGAATGCAGTGCGATCGACGTAATGGGGAGTCTGGTGTTTCCAAATTACCAATCCGGACACGACGAGGTGCTCCAGACATTGTCAGGCAAACGCCTGAGTTCCACGCACACGATGTGGCACAAAAGTATAACTTACTGGGGTGCACTGAACAGTAATTTGCACACCAATCAAATGTGTCGTTGTGATTTGGCAGATAATTGAGTGTGAAGACCAATTAATAGCTTTTCATTTGATCAATGTTTGGGAGGGATTTAATTAAGACACCATGACGTCGATTAATTTATCACACAAAACATTCGTCAACTCCTAGTTACCACCACCTTCTCTGATCATTTTGATCAGAAAATAAAATTACTGGAATTGTCTTCATCACCATAAACAACACTATCTAAGAGCAAATGACACTTTGCCACGAAAAGCATCCAAAGATGACTGCATAGGCCTGGCTGCTGAAATGCAGTTTAATAGACTCCGAGATTGCAACCCGGGAGTAACCAATGTCCAAAAGATTTTGTTATCTACCAAGTCCCAAATGCAGTAAGCTGTGGTTAGATATAATTAGAAGACATATCGACTTTCTGGCCAAGGCGAAAGCCAGAGCAATTTTGTCAAGTTTGCGGCATTTTTGCTTTCCCAGAGCAAAACACCACCATTTTACTGCAGGTGACGAAATCTTGAGAGGTGTTTGGCGACATCTTGATCCCTGCAAATCTTTTTTTTGCAAAACGGACGCAGATTTCCTTGAAAAAAGGAAAGACTTTGCATGCTTTCAGATGTGGTGTACACAGTACCTAGTACACTTTATGCTGAGGCATGCGTGGAAGACACCTTGAATAGATGGAATCCACAAGGTAGGATCTGCGTCTAATTCGTTCACCGCCTACACAACCCTCAATCTTCAATCTGCAGACGCTATCGTTGCTGTTAGTTGAAGGCGTTCCACCTCTTCTGCAGTACCCTCGACTGGAATCTCTACTCCACAAACAACCAAACACAATTAATTCCTTACGATTGGGTTTAAAAATTTACTCAAATTGAATTGAATTGTTTTTTTTTTCAACCTACTAATTTTATATTCAAAGTTAAGTGTCCGATTTCGAGAGATTTTTGTCAGCGAGTTACGAATCATCGACAACCAATCAAAACTCACCTCCGGATGGACAATCGAGTGGTTTGGTGCCCCACGCAGTCTTGGTTTCCCGACAGGAGCGAGTGCAGAAGCACGCCGCTACCACGTCAATCGGAGACGGCGGTTCGTTGACCATGGGGAACATCGACGGATGCAGTCGACGGGGCGTGTATCTTGAGCGTAGCGCCGTTGGCTGTTCCGGTGTTAACCGCACCATGTAGACGCAGTTAAATTTCAACTTGGTAAGCCGGAAGTATCGTTTCTAAAATTGAGTGTGAAAATAAGTGAAAGATGTGACTGGTTATCGCTTTTTTACCAGATCAGACAGGACAGGTAGTTTTGTTTTCAACTTAATATTCTCAATCTGCCTTGCACACCATTCCAACTCGACCGCGCACCCGGTCTTCGCTCCACCTGATTTGCTCATTCCAACATTAAGTGTGCCAACTCTTTTCACCGTCTGCGAGTCAATTTTTGCACGAATCCCTTTTGTTTGAGTTAGCTAATCGCCAGGAACGATCTTGACGCAGGAAGTACAATCAACATCACCCACCAATCAGAGGTGCAGAAGCAGCACGGTAGCATGGTGAGTGGACACGCAAAGCCGTACTTGTGCGGGGTGGAGAGACAAGGAGGTGTAGCAGCCCTGAAGTCGAAGTGTCGCAGGAAGCTGCACGCAAGCAGCTAATCTCCTATCCCAATCGCGTCAGTTCGAGATGTAGCGGTAACACGTAAGCGTAGCACGCAGTGAATAAACTCACCTACCCTCATAGCCGAGATCTACTTAATCTCCCCTTGCACGCACGCTTTACCCTTTTTTTTAAACAAAATTATCTCGATACACATGTGTAAGTTGGAAAAAAAACCAATGGAGGCAGATGCTTTCACGTGCTTACCCTAACTGTAGCGGTGAGAATATCGCTGCCGCCATCGGCTCCGACGTGCAAGGGGGACATGGGGGTGCTCTCGTGGGAGTCAATGCAGACCTGGGGAAACCACTCAATCCGATAGCTTTGACTGTCCATGTCTACAAGGGGGTTGAAAGGTAATGCGTGAGTTTGATGGTTGAGTTGGTTCTGATTCTCTTAAAGTCCGTTCACTACGTTTCAGGGGCGTTTTGGCTGTGTGAGGCTTTGGAGATCATATTTACGAGGATAAAGAGTGTGTAGAACGTGGAATGGCATTAAATTAGGTCCCGGAAGCTGTCCTGGGATTTCCAGAGCCACGGGTACATTGGCATCAACACGGTTTAATGGAAGCTAACGTCTATTATCGCGTCATTCCTTGATAAGGCGACTTTGTTCGGGATGACAACAGGAAAATGAATTGAAAGATTGAATCATCTACCCTGGGATTTGCCAGTTGAGGCTTGTACAAAATCAGCCCAAAATCACACTCAATTCTCACAACACCCCAAAAATGAAGTAGCCCACTTGGCCTCATTGTTCCGTCACGTTTTTATAGACTGTCGCGCGAACTACGTCCGATGAGAAACCACTACACCCAACGTACTTTTTTTCTTCTTGTTTAACACCAAGACACCACACAATGCCTCCGTTTTTAGACACCAACACGTTCGCTAATCCGGTGTGTGTGTGTGTGTGTGTGAAGACGCGCTCACTGATAGACTGCTGCTTTTTTTTAAAAAAAAAACGATAAATGCAGAAGAAAGAGGAGAAGTAAACTCACGCGAGAACGACTTCAGTTGCACTAGCGCCGTGAGATCACCATCGTAAACCTCTGGCGGTTTGATCTCCAGTCTCTCGTCGTTCTTCGCAAGACCACCACACCTGCAATTGTTGGCGCTGTCGTCGTCGTCATCACCATCATCATCATCATCGCCTGCTGACATCGTCAAGCTGTCTACAATTGAGTGAATTTGGATGCCGACGTTGTCAACTTGGAGACATCGCCTCTCTGAATTTTCCGCTCACGCTTAAAAAAACCACTCGTGGATACCCGTTTTCCCGAAATCTACTCAATAACCAGAAATACTCGTAAACCACTAAAATTGCTTTTAGTATTAGTGTGGGATAATTATTATATATGACAGTAATTTTGTGGTTACCACACCGCTGATAAGAGCCATCTGGCTATGCTTGGAGCGGGGCCAGCCAGCCAGGCTGGTGAGTGGAGGAGGTGGGAGGCGAGGGGGGGGGGTAACAGTGGATGCTACACCTCGCCCCTCTCTTCTCCTTTCGCATGCCCCGTTCTCTCCCATAATCAGATAAAATCGCGCGCACACAACCAGGCAATGAGTCAGATATCGGCCGGGAAAAACGTCCCACACATTCTTAACAGAGGCCACCCGCTAGAGAGGACCCGTTCTAGATGAGGGGAGAGAGCGACAGAGGGTCTAACGAGTTCACGTGGTGTTGCAATTGTGTGGAAGAGGGGTGTGGTGTGGCGAGGGTAGGGACGGTTGAATTAGCCTCCGTGACTAACCCCGCCTCCGCTGAGTGATTTCCAGGACTTACGTTTTGGGCCTTCCAGCGCCACGTTCTGGTGTTCGGCGTGGTGGACGGATTCTGTTGAAATGAAAATGATATGTGGCTGCGACTCCAGCTGACCACCGCCGTACCACGAAGAAATTGCTGTGACCTAAAGTACACAATGATAGTGATGATGATAAGGGCATTTTTCACAATCTACCTGCTCTCAAAATTAACCTTGAAGCACACACACACGAATAAAGCGCTTACTTGTACTTTGTAGGAAGATCCTGGCTGGAGATCGTCAATCATAATCTCCGAATCTTCCTTGAAAAGGAAAGGGAATAAAAGGGGAAAACAGTTGGTTATTCTGATTGGTTGTGACGCGGCCTTTACAGCACACCAGCCGTTTTAGAAATTATAGGGTCTCATCAACTCAACCAACTTACTGGGTGTACGTTTTTCACGAAGGGAGCGTTCGGTGTTTTCAGCGCTTGACTGCTGGTGCTTGGGTAGCCTTGATCAGGGGCCCAAGAAATCTAAAAGGAGAACTCAATAATAAGGCCCGTTTCCTGGACGGGGATGAGAATGCTTCTCTCAGTTGCTTTTGCTACTTGGGAAATTACCACCATGCACAATTTTCGGCCCAGAATGTGTCCAGCCAATCAAAACCAAGCGACAGCGGGGTAGAAGAGAACAACACTCACTGAGTAATTAATAAGGGGTAAATCGCTGCTTTCTGGGGGCTCCCAACTCAGTAGGACACCGACTCGTCCGTTGGAGTGGATCCTCCACTTGGTCGCGGTCACGTTGCGTGGAGGGCTGGGAGGCTGGGGTGGCTTGGGGTGCAGGGGGTAGGGGTCTGAAGGTGTACCGAATCCCCTGCTTCCATGGGTGCCTACTGCTGCCAGTCGAAATTGGTACATGTGGCCGGGGTCAAAGGAATCCAGGGTTGCGTTCAAGTTCCCCGTCTACAGCAAATTTGGGGACGATTTTAAAATCACTAAACTACACATTTTGAATGAAATTGCCGAAATTTGTTGCACGACCTCAAAGGACTGACTAAAGTCATTAATCAGAGGTGTTTCTGTGTGAGGTTATTCAAGACTCAGTCATGGTGTTATCTTGAAAATTTGAATCTGAATGTGGATACTTACCATTAAGACGGTTTGCCAGGGTGAGACGTGATCCTCGCTGAAGCGTTTGCACACACAGAAGCGTGTCTGGAGGATGAAGACGAGTGGTCCATGGTTTCGACTGAAATTGGGGTAGTTACCAGTCCAGTACAAGCCCATTACCCCGGGTCGATGAGGCAACGGTTGCAACGAGAGCGGTGGAGGCAGCGGTGGAACTTCTTCCGAGTACATCGGCTAGAAGGAAAGAGGCAAGTATTTCCAACTATGGTGCATTCAGGGGAAATGAGACGGAGGAATCATTTCTACTGTGCTTAAAAACACCTACTTTAGTCATCTTTTCACGCACACACACGCACACACGCACGTAGTTCCCTGCCCATCACTCAGTCTCAAAATAATTTATGACTTACTGTCGAGCAGATTCGACTGCAGCCGACCTTGCAGCACTTCTGCAGGGGATGCACGCAGTCGGAGTCATCGTGACACAAACTGCGACAGGCAGTGGGTGGAGGGGCGAAAGACGACGCTAGATCGACGCTCGGCCGTCCCGGCGCCTCGCCTGCGACGCCGGCGGAGCGACAGTCGCCGGGACGGTTTTTCGAGATTTCGGACAGCAGGAGGCAGCTAAGGTGGCAGCCCACCGAGTCCACCAGTCCAATCTGTGATGGTTAATAGACGCATTAATAATTAATTAACAAATACTTCGACAATATTGCATTCGATTACTAGAAGGCGCTCTCCTTATTGATTATTTCAATTCAACGCTGTTGGACCTGTTAATTTTGCTGGGTCAGAACGCCTGAATTAGACTTTGTAATTGTGCCCGGCCATGTCAAGCAGCTGACTAGCTGGTTATTCGCTGGAGCACTCTGTTGAATTGTTACACAATCCGAAGACCAATCAACTAGTAATGCACTAGCCGTTGTTCCTTGACATTGCCTTCTTCGACCGGTGCATCTTCACATGGAAGACGACACTTATTGTGTTTACGGTGTCCTGTTGATTAAAATTGGATCCATTCAGGATTCTTCTTCACAAAGACGGTTGTCATTCGGAAACAGACCACTTGTCGGTAATAATTGAACTAATCAATCGTGGTATTTCAGAATCTACTAGGAAGCTGTGGCACTCCTTGGCAATGGCATTCTGTTTCCCCACAGATGAACGAGGTCTGCCACTTGACAGAGTTCCCAGTCGCGGTGGAGTCATTTTTCGTTTAAATCACATCAATGAACAAACAATTCGTTCGACCTTTCTGCCTCTCTCCTGTTAACCCATTGTGCTGGAACTCCGTGGAATAGATTGTCGACAATGTTGGCGGAGATATCTTCAATAACTTCCGGAGAAGTGGCACTCACGCTACCCTCACGTGCCTGACAGACTGCAAAATGAATGACAGCTTAAAGGGATAAATGTGTGCATCTTTTAAATGCCCTCCGCGAGGACAGTTTAGAGCGGAAATCAACATCCCTCGTGTTGAGTTCCAGTCACTTCCGTGTGTGGATTTCCGGAGGTAGAGAGAGCCTGATTACTGTCCTTTCACAATAAACTTGTTAGCGATTTTTTTTGCAATTATTCGATTAGGCAGGCAAAACAAACTTCAGCGTTCGCCTATTGGTCGAAAGCATGACATGATTTGGTCACTTGGAACGAATAGGACTTTCACGGCTCGTTCAAATCGGTGTATGTGAAGTTTTTCCTCTACCAATTCTGGCAAATTAGACGCCATTACATTTTAAACCAATGACGTGTATGGAGTTCGAGACCGCCCATTCTATTGGTCGCTTCAAGGTCAGATCAGGAAAATTTCCAGTGGAGTGGTTAGGAGGTGTGGAACTGGAAATGCAGGCTCCGATGATTGTTTAAAAGGTCAGATAGGAGGATAACTAAGAAATACGTGTTTCCTTGTCTCCATGGTGGATGATTCATGCGACCTTGAAGTAACCAATCGATAGCGTGATTGTAACTGCAATCATAACTATTGGCTGGAAGTGCTCTAGTGTCAGAATCGGTAAAATCGGACCGTAGGTACATCGATTTGAGCACACGCATTTCGGTTCAAGGCGTCACACCATCAGATGTTGCCTTCATACTTGGACAAATAGACTCAGCCAAACAAAGATGTAATCTTCAAATCCCGTTGTAGGCGAAAAAATTCTTTTATTTCACAGTATCCAAAAACAGCAAGCTGCGACTGCGTAGATGCTAATCAGCCAGCAAGAGTAAAACGACTTCTCACTGCTCTAATGGAAAGCTAGCTACGATTCTACTCCAACAGCGTCTGTCAACGGGAGCACTAGCATTTAAAGTTCGTGTGAGTGTGTGTGTATGTTTACTACGTACCCAAGCGGTTAATGGCTGGTCATTTAATTAAAACAAGCTGCTCACGGGGGGAGGGTGCACATCGCCCTCTCTCTCTCTGACTTTGCACCCACAGAAATACACTAACTACACACACACACACGCGAGTTCTGCATTTTTACAACCTCATCGGTAAATCATGCACTTCTTAGGACCAAATTTGTGTGTGGAACAAGAAGGGGATTCGATTGGAGCCAAATCGAAACGAGAGAAGTCCACATGTGGTTCAAATTGGTGTCTTTGCTATCAAGAATTCGTGTCGAGACAAGCACATGACGGCAAAAGAGTTTTGGCGTCTTATGAGGGAGGCGGTGGTGGTGGTGGTGGTGGGGGAGAGGACTCTCACGACAGACATGCAGGCCGGCAAGTGAGAATTCAAACGAATGCGCGGGTAATTGGTGGGAAACCGTCACCTATCTGGGGCAACTCGAACAAGGAGGATGTAGACAAGACAGCCACATATCACAAATCGCCTCTGTGTGTGTGTGTGGTGCACGCGTGTGTGTGTAGCGCAGTTCGCCTGTCAAGCTGCCAGTGAAATTTATTTTGTCGAGGCGACCCAAATTGGAAGCCTTTTCCACCACACGTCAAGCGAAACGGGCCAGTCCGAAATCCGGGCTGACGACACTTCGACGAGTCGCTTCTTGCTCCTTCCGAGCGCGCAACGAAGTAACGCGGACGAGGCGATGGAAGAAGGAAATTTTGGAACAGGTGACGACGCCTTGTGTGACCCGTGGACTTTCGGACAAGTTGAAACGTGTTGTGCCACCCATGGGAGGAACACCCACGCGCTACATAGCCCCACCCCACACCTCCCCCTCTTCTTCTCCCCGTCATTTTAAAGCTGCCCATAAAACTGCGCGTTCCTTCAACGTCCTCATTAAAATTAACGTCTAGGACGCATTAGTCAAAACACACTTAAGTAAACACGAAAATGCCAGCTCCTTTTAGATACTGTGGTGTGTGTGTGTGTGTGTGTGTGTTGGTGTGACGTTGACTCAGTCACACAAAGATACCATCTGACTGCCACGAATCGAGTGACTCAGCGCTATTATGACTTGGGGCGACTGTCACGTGTTGTCCAAACAGACGTAAATCATTGGTTGTCTGCCTGTTTTGACTAAATATATATTCAGCAACGTTGGTCGAGAGTTATCACGTTTCATCCTTCCTCCTGGTCAATCCATGAACGCTTTCTTGTCCTGAAGATTAAACTAGCTTTGAATGGATCCTGCGCTTGTAGAATGTATCCGAGTACATCACAAAATTTGAATAACACCAGGCGTTGAAGTCAGGCCTCCACGAAAAAACTGATGTGTCCTACAATCGTCTCGCATGACAACTGATGAAGTCAACGGTTAGTGCCCGACACCGACGTCGGAATTTCCACCTGCTTCAACTCTTCAAACAACCGTCATCTTCGATGAAACTTGAGTAGACTATCCTTGTAACCCAGGCGCAGAGTCTTGCCTCAGTTCACCCGATTCGTAAGAACTCTTTCGCGAGCCGTAACCGAGTTTAAAAGCGTGTAATTCTTAAGATCAAATGTGCAGCTGGTTGTTTGATGGCTGATTTACAAGCAAGTTGATTGGCCGGACAAGGTCTAATCAAGTTGGACACATTAGAACAAAGCTTCTGCACACTTGGCAAGCTGTTTGGGCGATGCGAAGATTGAAGGGAAATCAAGAAATGTACAAAAAATCAATTGTACTTACCGAACACCTTGACTGACACACGTCTGGCGGAGAATCGCACGCCGAAAAGCACTGTTCGGGGGAAGAGAAGAACCGAAAATAGAGAGTTCAGGTGGAACACGAAAAGGCGGTGGGTTCGACGGTTTGGTAAATCACTTACCGCTTCGCTGCACTTGTCGTGGTGGCGTTGGAAACAGTCTGAAACCAGGTCACTTTGAACCCCTAGCCGATTCAGCACCTGGAGGAGAAGGGAGACAGGATTAGACCTGCTACCTGCTTCGGTAGTCGTTATTCCTATCGACACCTTTAACACACGGACATCAGTTACCGTGGCCTCTGGAATTGACGAAATACCCCAGGGCAGCAACCATGAAATAAATTTGGTAAATATCTGACTTCTCACGAAGAAAATTTCCGTCTCTATTGGCTTCTAGTTGCGTCGACGTCTGTGAACGTCACATCCCGAAATCGTCTTTATTTACCCAGAACTCAAACTCGATTTGTTAGAGCTATCTGCCTGTGTAAAAGCAGTAAGTTCACCGGCATTTATATTGCCAGCAAATGCAGAGAAAATGCCCCAAACACGAACACGCATGACCCCACGTGCCCTGGCATTAACCCCGACCTTGTGTTCGCGCAACATCTCACAGTCGAGATAATTGGCAGTTCGCGTAAAATTCCACGCATTTTGATGGTCAGTGAACTGACAGGATTGCTGTGCACCTGGGGACAGGTCGCCGGCAGTTCACACGTCTTTAAAAGCAGCTCATTTTCTCGTCTGCCTCTTTTTTTAACAACCAAATACAAACGGAGGACAACCTCGGTCCCTCGATGTTTCCGACTTCCTGTGGAAGCAGACAAGGTTTGGAGCGCTGCGTTGCCACAACAAGAGGGCTGGACCTGTCACAGTCAATGGCAGTTTGTCTCACCAAAATAGGTCCGATTGGGAAGTCAGGGCTTCACAGAACCTGCGCGCCGGACCGACCTGGTGTAGTTTCCTTACGCCCCCCACCACCCGCTACCACAAACAAACATCTTTGTGATAAAGATACCGGCGATCTGGGTGGTTGGTCGTAAATAGGTGCATTGCCTTTGATGTGAGCGGTGTAGTGAGGAAAGCGAGCTGCCGCATTAGGTGATTAAGTCAAATGACCGTGTGTGGGAGAGCCCGGGGGGCTGGGGGCATGTTCGAATTGACTGAATCCAAGACGATATCGGTTGCAATTGGCGCGGGGTTGTGGCGTTGCTTGTTGCGACACCCTGGGGTTGGCTGTACCACGACAACTGGCGTTCATTTTATCGCTTCGCGTGACCTCCGGAATTGCATCCAAGTGTGATGCGCAATGTTCACATCCAGCCGCACGTCTGTTTGACCTCTGTGGTTTTAATAACTTGGATTTCAGTGATTGGGTATGCCCAACCGCCTACTGCACCGGCTGAGAGGGTCAAAAGCTAGCTCGAAACCCGCTCCAGCTAAGCAACCTCATTCTAGACCGTGTGTAGACAAGATTCGACTCAGAGTGAGCTAATTTTGTAAATTGAAGATGGAATTTGAAAAGTTCGACCAACCAAACTCTCGCAAAATCGTGTCTTTTAAGGAAATTGGGGTGCCACCATGTACAAGTGATTCACCATGGGATGAGGAAACGGAAATTGCTTCTTTGTCTCACAGCGCAAGCTCACAAGTTCGACATCCCTCGTCACTCCCCGCTTGAAAGTGAGCAATGCCGCAAAAGAGTTACTATTTAGAGAAAATATTGGGTAGCGATCCTGAGAACAGTTAGGGTAAAAAAGAAACTAGACGACATGGGATCCAATTATTGACATTAATCAAGACACAAAGTGAGTGAGGAATAATTGATGTGTGAAAGGAAAACAGCCATCATTTCTTAATCGTGGTTTTTTAGCATCAAACACGATTAAAACACAGACCTTTGGGTGTATTTTTTCTCTAGTTTTCTGCCCCCTTAATCGATAATCACAGGAAGTGGGAAAAGAAGCTGATGTGAGGAAGGGAAACTTGGTAATCATTCGTCATCCGTCCCACGGCCTTCTCCATCTCGTCAAACTATTACTCATGCGGTGACTTATCCCAGGCTGGTATAGGGAGGGGGGAGAGACAGAACGCAGCCACCACCCTCCCCTCCCAATGTTTACGCAAATTGTGGCATTTTCAGAAGACCCAGTCTTGACCACTTGGCCTGCCTTCCAGCACCACCACCGCCACCACCTGCTCTTAGAGGCAGATGAAGTTGTCATTGTCGGCGGCCTAGGCGAATAGTGACAAGTAGGGTAAATAAATGAATTATGGCTTGATCCAACGCGTGGAAGTGGATTGTTTGGGTGAGTATGCGTGTGGTCCGGATACCCGAAAGATGGCGGTTTGAGAATCGAAGCTTCTTCAAACTAAACACGACTTTGTTCAGCTACAACTGCGAACGTTTTAGAGACAACTTCCCTCACTAAATCGACAATTACGAGTTAAAAATATACAAATTACACTAACGTGATGCCTGAATCGGTGGATGGAAGCACTAATATATTTCGCAAGACTTTTTCGGGACTGATATACTCAACAACCAACCAATGACAAGGAAAAGCATTTGACTACAGAATTGACAAGGCTAGTGTCGGGGCACGTGATCTCCAACACGATACGGGAATCGGCCTGGAGATTCCGCCACCCCATGTTATACGGAGGCCGTTTTCGACATGCACAATTTGGGCTGCCATGTACAAATGCTCCAATCACAGGGGCCCTGTTGTCGATTGGTCCAATGGCAATCTAACAAGACAGCTAACAAGGTGCAGTGAACAAGCGTTATTCAAGCACGTTTTTTTCCAAACCCTCATGTAACCATGGCGGCGTCGGTCAACGTAAATAGAAGGATATGCGTAAAAAAGAAATTGTGGACTGTTTACTGCTGGGTGCTTTTACACGTGTTTATGCTGACATACGTGGCAAGAAACGATTTATCTTAGTTACGCAGCCGTATTTGTGTATGCTACGCACCGGTAGAGCAATCACAATGCAAAAAAGTACTTTTCGTTAAATAGCGACGGATTAACAAAACATTTCATGCGACAAGGAAGACCAGAAAAATAAATAGACAGCTTCGACGGAGGAGATCTCGCATGAGAATTCCAGCCTCTTTTAAATAAGAGCAAAGTCAGGTGGTAGGGCAGACTTGAACAGCCTGAATTGCTATTGACAATGGAAGATGGAAGCAATCTCAAGTCGGTTTGCTAATATTGACAGAAGACATGAAATAAAATCTACTAACGATGATGCAGGTATTGATTTTGTGTGACACACACACACGCACAAATCTCGATGTCTATGGAGTAGAAATCGAGCCGGCGTTTTTTAGGTACGAAGTTTCGCAACCGTGGGCACGTATTCACATACTTTGCTTAACTAGGAGGCAATTCAGAGAGCGTGGCGGCATTACCAGAAAGTTGTAGGTGATTCACAAAACAACGCCTACGTCCCGCCTCACGGGCCAAAGCACTACAGTGTTTACGGCAGTTTGCCAGACAGGGGGCGGTTGTCGTCTAAGTTGGGCCGCACTTGCACTAAGGTAACCGAAGCATGTCCGATTAAACGTGCCTCTACGCCGTGCAGTGCACATTCGGCCGGCCCTCTGGCATGGTTTGATTCGCTTCAAGGACACGTTGCAAGTTATCGTGATAACGCCCAACGCCGGGTCTCCAAATGCGACTTGATAGGATAACAATAAAACCGACCAATCATAGTTTTGTACAAAATGAAGCTGAGGTGTTACGCAAGGAGATGGGACACAATGATTACCTCGTTAATGACGTCCTCACCGGAGTTTTGGAAGTACCTCAGGCACCTGGCTTTGCATTGAGCTCGAAGGAAGACCCTGTTTTCGTCGTCGGAGACAGTTTGAGGATGAACGAGGACGAGACAAGTGAGCAGAATGCTACACGCATGGAGAAGTTGGGGCCTATTCGCCATGCTGAAGGATAAAATAAGTACACAATTCCAGTGCGTCGATGGTAAACTTATAGTCCAGATCCGAATGCGGTCAACATGACGCACAGGTGCGTAGTGCTTTTCTCATCGCAATAACTTTGGCCGTTTCGTAACGACTCGACACGTGTTAGAACCGCTCGCAACGTGATTGGACGAGGTTGAAAGCCAATGTGACACAAGGACGATTTTGATTGGTCCAAAGAAATTGGATTTAATGTAGCCCTGAAAAAAAAATATGGTGTGAGGCGATCCAAGCACGCACATGGAAAAAAGTCTATTATGACTACGAAAGTGTGTGTATGTGTGTGTGAATAAATTGTCGCACGCACAGAACCCTCCTCCCCCTGATAGCGCATCGTACTCCTGTGACTGCAACGCGCGCAAATTTCAAAGGCCAATCAGCCAAATCTCTGGATATCCACCAACAAGACTGCTAACTTGTCTAGTCTCATTGACTATGCACCCCCTCTAGATAGGTTGCACAAAGCGTCGTCTAAATCAATGATAAGATAACGTTTTCCTCGTAAAGAGACGTGTGTGTTTAAACAAAGGTTTGAAATAACACATAAAATTTCAGAGTTCGATCCAGCGATAAATGAATCTGCTTAATTCTACCAGTTGTTGATCAGGGTGATTTAAATTGTAGTCGCTGTAGGACGCGAACTCATTCACTGTTTTACTTCCTTTATTACCTGGTGTAATCTTCATTCATCCCTCTGGCGGGCACTCAATTCCCTTTGTGTGAAATGCGGTTGCTTTTGCGGCAAATTTTAACTGCAACGTGTCTTGATTGCCCAATGGAATCCATCACTAGCGCCAATTGTTGAAGACATGGATTTCTTCAAAAACGAGACGAATGTTCACTGAGACGCTGATTTGCGTTTTCAAGTAAATCACTGACACTCCGTCATTTGGAACCTCGTTCATTCGAATCGAACATCTCTGAAATGTTCGTCGGTAACTTCTTGAGCGATTTACTTGGATTCAAGAGCAAGGTCAACCATCAGATTTGGCGATTTTTCAATTTTCGATCGACCACAGCACCAAATTTTGTTTAAATCAATCGTGACACGATCTGGCACAAATGTTGGCCCCCAGTGAGCATATCAACTCCCCATTATCTGGCTTCCTATTTTACATCAGCGTTGCCAATTCTCATTAAAGTACTGACAACGCCCGGGAACGCCATTCTCAATACTTTCCACGTACTTAATGCTTAAATTGGACCATCAAGAACACATTTTCAAGCGCTTTTGGAGACGAATTAGGGTGAAATTATTCAAAGATGACATTTATTTCACATTGAGGGAAGATGAGAAGGGGTTTCTCTGATAGATCTTTCCTTTCAACTAGAACCAGCCCACCGTTTTTTTCATTAAAAATCAATTTGATAAGCGATCGTTCAACTTCGAACTTAAAGTGTCATTCAAAATTTGCTGATAAAATACGAAGACTAAATGTCGAACGATCTGAATTCCTCAACTCCACCATATCAAGTCATAAAAGGAAGGGTGAACTAATATTTACTTGCTCAGAGAGAGCGTAATTTACTATTAAGGAATCATATAGTCATACCTCTTCCAAGAATACAGTTAATAAAGCACTTTTTTTTAAAATTCGCGTCTTTAAAGTGACATGTTTACCAACTAAAAGTGCTTCCGCAGCCATCAAGTTAGTCATTGGCCTTCGAAACGACGGAAGTTTAAGCATAGCAATCTGCAATCCACTCACGAAACGAGTTAATCAAGATGGGAGTTAATGGGTTACCCACAAAATCACCAATCAAAATAACTCTAGCGCAAGATCGATAGGTACTCCTGCTAGGTCTACGTAACGTGGTCAGGAGATACGAAAGATGTATCGGTTAGAGGAAGGGTAGCTGGCAGAATCGTCTGTCACATTCGAGCCCCAGACAACAGAAATATGTTACAATTAACATGATGTAATCATTGTCAAAACTTAACTGCCAGTGCTCCTTCTAATTTTCTTATTTTCGCGATGAAATGGACGGTCGTAGGAAGATGACATCGAGTGTACACCGTTTGGTACTAGGAAAAGCAGTAATTGTTTGAAGGTGTTAAACCCCTTTACAATGGATGTGTTTTGGTAGAACATCTATCTGGGTATTTCAATATCATCGGAATTTCATCTGGTTGAAGTCGCCTTGTTGGGTATTCGGGAATGGTTTAGACTAGGATGGAGATACTTGCTGAATTTGTTATTGTGCGACGTCTAGACGGGGTAGGGGAGAGACAGTGTGGGAACGGCCTGAACCTCTGTACCACCCACAGACCAAGTTCCGGTCTTGTCCTGCTTCGTGTCTTGGTGTTCATGAAGGCGATTGGTAAATCTTGCATCCGCGAAGACAACTTCTGACAAAATGAAAGAATTCAACTAACTGGTTCCAAACCCTGTTTCACATAATCTTGATAGCATGCATCATTCTCGGCAGCTTTAGCAGATGGTGAGGAGGCAAAAGAACATTTCCGTTTCGTTTTAGCGAGAGAATCAAAGAAAAACGTTGTGCGCGTTGGTTTTGTCATTATTGTGACACCTGTCCATTACTTTGGGAAATCTGGTGGGCATAGCTAATGCCAGATTTTCCAAAAACTAGTTGGACGAAAGAGTTTATAGTAGGAAATGTCTTTTATTTTAGACTTTTAATTGAAGTTTTGCTATTGGTGGTAATCTAAAGATTAAGCTAACTTCTGAACTAACTGCGTAATTTACTGTGCGAAAATAAGCATTGCCTTGAAGTATCAAGGCTGTTTGCAAAACTGATTTCAACATGTCGACAAATCCAACACTGATGGGTAGTATTTTAATTTGTCCAATGAACGAAGCTTAATGTGAGGGAATAGTTGGGTCGTCGGACACTGATTAGCGCAGTTCGAATGATGCTCCTGAAATGAGGAGTCTGAGTACGACTCGATCAAGGGAAAAGATTGAAAAAAACCGGAGTGGCTTAGAAGTGTGGAACTATGATTCTCTGACAGACGGTGCTGTTCGCTTAGGTCATGTCCAAACCAGTTTACCTGAAAGCACCGCCTTTCCAAAAAGTTGTGATAAATCAATGGCCTTTATCCACACGTCTCCACAGAACGCCCAGGCTTCGCGTTTGGAAAAAGCTGATTGCTAAGGCCTAGGAACACGCATTGCCAACAGCCATCCAACCACA